AGCCACTCTGGAAACAGTGACTCTGACCTCAAGGCAAGAAACAGTTTGGAAGTCACCCTAGGCTACAGGTGTCTTCTACCCACCTGTCTGACCCTGTTTGCCTTCCAATCTCTTCCTGCTCAAGAAAGGAAAAGGAAAACCCCCATGCTATCGGCTTTACCTTTGGCATTCAAAACACGGGCAATTGTAACCCTGGTGCATTGGCAGGCTACACTGCTCTGTTGCTTAGCTGCCAGGGGCTGGGGAATTTCCTTTCAAAGTTCAGGATTATTTGACTCTGGATTTGCAATATCATCTGGTCCAGATGTGGTCTTGTGGTCCTGGTTCTCCACGCCCTCTGTCAAAGCAGCAGAGGGTCGGCTGCATCTATCCCCCTTTAGCTGAGGACTGGCAGTGGGAGAGAAGCTAAACCCAGATCTGTAATGAGTGGGGCCCTCTATGCCACCATAGAACTTCCACCCTCAAGAGCACTCACAGAAGCCCAGAGTGAACTTGCGACCTTAACTGTGACCACCCTAGGACAAGCCAGGCACCCAGCATTCTCATCCCCTATCACTCACTCTGTTTACAAATTTTTGTTTTCTACAGACAAGTGCCGACATCCACTTACTGACATTGGGTAGCTACCAGATCATCTGGGCCACATGAAAAAGCTGTGGTTGTCCTGTCATCTACTTGGCCTTGCTTAGGTGTCCTAGTTAGAGTTACTATTGCTGTGATGAAACACCATGTCCAAAGCAACTTGGGAAGAAAGTGTTTATTTGGCTTACAGTTCCACATCCTAGTCCATCACTGAAGGAAGCCAACACAAGAACTCAAGCAAGGCAGGAACCTGAAGGCAGGAGCTGACACAGAGGCCATGGAGGAGTGCTGCTTACTGGCTTTCTCTTTCTGGCTTTCTCCGTCTGCTCTCTTATAGAACTTAGGACCACCAGTTCAGGGATGGTCCAACCAACAATAGATGGGGCCCTCCTCCATCAATCACTAATAAAGAAAATGCCCTGCAGTTTTGCCTTTAGTCAGATCTTAAGGAGGGATTTTTCTCAATTGAGGATCCTATCTCTCAAATGACTCTAGATGGTGTCAAGTTGACATAAAACTATCCAGCAAGTGAAAGGAGTGGCCTCATTGCTGACCCTGGTACCACTGTAGAGTGACCTGTGAAACTGGGTGTCCAGAAATGGTATAGGACCTGATGTTGGCCAATCAGGCTCAAGCCAGGGTAGGCTGGTGCCTGGGCCTGGGTGGAGGGGCTGAAGCTAACAGACACCCACAGTTAAAGGACTAAAAGCAGGGACTCAAAGGCAGAGGAGGGAAGAGCTTGGGCAGACTTGGCCAGTGTGTCTGTTTGATCAGAAGAACAGTAAGAGTTCCGTTCAGGGAGGGTGGGACTTCTGCCCTGGTTGCTGGGGAGGAACTGACAGAAGGCAATGAGGTGTAAACTGTCCTCTCAGAGGGGGGCAGGCATGGCTGTTGGCAGACACTTCCAAAAGCTGCCCCTTCTCTAAAGCCACAAGAGACACTGACAAAGATTCTTTACCTGGGGCCACACTCTCCTTGACAGCTTAGGCCAGAAGCAGCGAGGCCAATCAGGGAGGGTCCCATCCCCATCCTGGGGGATGCAGGACTCTGGTGACGGTCTATTTCCTTTTAAAGATTTGTTTTATCTTTATCTTTTTTTGTATGTGTGTGGGTGTTCTGCCTGCATGTATGTCTGTGTACCATGTGCATGCCTGGTGTCCTCAGAGGCCAAAAGAGGACATTGGAGCTGGAGTTACAGATGACGGTGAGCCACCATGTGGGTGCTGTGAATTAAACCTGGGTCCTCTGGAAGAGCAGCCAGTGCTCTTAACCACTGAGCTCAGGACCCCTGGTGATCTGTTTTGATTCCCTAACGTTTCTACCAACCATTTTTTTTTAGGTTACACCACAGCCATTCACTAACCTTCCTTCCCTCTGTCTCCCTCACTCAGAAACAGACATGGGCATCAGGACTGACCCACCACACCACACCCCTCTCCCCTCGCTCACCCTCAACTCCCCCACTCCTAGCC